GGTTCCAACGACACCGAACATCAACCTTTCAACATCTTGGATAAATCCAGCATTATCCTTAAAATTTCACAAACTTAGTATTCTAAAATACCGATACATCAATTTTCCAATATCCCAGTGGCTCTAACACGTACCGATACCTAAACGATTATATCAATGTTTTATTGTCCGATTCGCAAATGTTTCCGTAGTTCAAAATTATTTGAACTGCATTTATAAGCTAAGAATTTCAGATACACAGTGAAAGGGCCGAAAGGTCGAAGTTCCCAATATCTGTCCATCTTAAATCAAGAGTAATTCGTAATCTATCGAGCACTCCAGTCTTCCAAAGGGCCTAGACCGAGATCATTTCCCGAGTCCGATTCCCTGTTAAAACTTTTCCTTATCTTTTCGACGCTTCGATATTGTTTCAACACCGCAAAGATCAAGATTTCTTTGTAAAGATCGCCACAGATATCTTTCTTCAAGAATTCCAGTCGAAAAATTAAGGTACATAATCGAAGAACGGGATTGTGATCGCGCGAAGATGAGACACAGCGTTCAAGCCACCGATGAAACGAAGAAGTACAAGGTTCTGGCTATCGACAGCAATGACTGTCCTCGTCCCTGATTAACATTAATTACATGTCTAACGGTGGAACACTGCCTAGAGTCTATAATACCAATCACAGCGACACAGAACGTCTTGAGAACGTGCCTACGTTTGTAGCGAACGTTAATCTATGTTTGCAATTTATGCATATTATAAATATATATATATATATATGTATATGTATGTATGTATATATTTGTATACATGCGTGTCTCTGTGTTGGCGTGTATGTGTGCGCGCGTGTGTGTGTATATATATACGTAACATATACAACATACAAACATCGGCTTACAGTTACTCGATATACTAATCACCGAGAACATCACATCACATTTTATTTAGTGAAATGTCTTGGAAACATTAGCAATTTCTTTCTCTTTCAATTAAGCGTACATACACATGTATATACGATATATTGGGTTGGCAACTAAGTAATTGCCGATTTGTTCAATGAAATAAAAGAATTTATTTTTTACTTGGAACGAAGTTGAATCTGTAATGTATTTTCCATTTTGTTCGACGACCTTTTGCCATCTCTCCGACAACTTGAAAATTCCACGCTCGCAGAAAGTCTGATCCTTTTCGGCCAAAAACTGAGTTAAGCGAGATTTTACAGCGTCGTCGTCGTTAAAAGTTTTACCACGAAGGGAGTTGTCCAGGGATCGAAATAAGTGGTAATCCGATGGCGCGAGATCGGGGCTATATGGTGGGTTTAACATCGATTCCCAACCAATATCCATCAATTTTTGCCGAGCGGACAAAGACGCGTGCGGCCTTGCATTGTTCTGCTGGAAAATGACACCTTTACGATCGACCGATTCTGGTCGCTTTTCCTTGACCGCTGCATTCAATTTGTCCAGTTGCTAACGTTCACGGATAATAAAAAATAACATAATAATAATAATAATAATAATTTTATAATATAACATTTACGGATATGATAAAAATGGGAGTGAGAGACGTCTATAACTGAAATCGGCAATTACTTAGTTGCCAACCCAATAGTATCTCGACCACTGATTGTACGAATAGGATTTGTGCCGGGCACAACAAGCAATCACATTTAGATTCTCCGCGTTTTATTCGCCCCCGGGTGCTACAATACAAAAGAAACTTTTCATTCTTCCTGATTTCTTCTCTCTAATTTTTTCCTCTTCGATTTCTCCACTCTGTATCTTTCGATCACGATCGACAAAATGGTCGAATAGAACGCGGAGCGAAACACGTAGCGTATAAATGCATCGTCGGCACTCGGCTAAATCATGCGTGCGCACATTTATCTGAATTATTTCATTATCTAACGATCGTAGAATCGCGGCTCGTGGCAATCTCGCAAGAAAAATGTAGAAAATGTGCATCTAAAAAACTGTCGACAAATTTGTCGAACGATTGAAACTCCAGAAAAGTTAGTCAAAGTTGAAAGACTTCGAATATTTTGGACGAGGTATTAACACGTTGAATGCCACGGGGGTCACCGGTGACCGACGCGCCCAAATTGATAGAAATATATATAATTTCAAACAAATGTCAATATCTAAAATTTTGTATTATTACCATCGCCGATTCAAACAGTGACCCCTGTCGCAATTAACATGTCGAACATGGTTATACACTGTAACTTATCTTTAGCAGATAATATTTCAACATTATACGTATCACATAAACAATTTCTGTAAAACCCGCGCGGCATTCAACGTGTTAAAAATCGCTGATATATTTATAGAGGTTCTACGAAATGAATTGACTTCGAACGAGGAATATGGGAGACCGTGAATCGAAAGCGTAGCGTGGTACTTTTCATTTGTGAGAAGACCACCGAGCACGTGCTACTTAAATCGATTCGATTAACATTAACCCTCGCGCCTCTCCGTCTACCATTAGATCGGATAAAGTAGTTCCCCTAGAAATGTTAAACTCTGAATTGACGTACAATTTCGTCGGGCCTGGATCCAGCTCGATCGTCGACACGATAAATAATTGATCATCGTTCTTCAAGCTCGGTGGAGATTGTATAGATGCTCTGGCAACACGTTTCGTTACATTCCCGTTAATTACAATAGCCTAGCGCGGTTCTTAATACTCGATTAATCCTTCTATCGATTTGCACTGTTCAATTTCATTATTTCGTTTTAAACGCGAAATTCTCGTCGTGCTCCGATCTCGAAGGGGAGTTTACTCCGTTCGCAATGCTTCCGACAGCGGAGCACGACTGCGATTAATGCTACTTAGACGATACTTTAAACAACTTAGAGTAACGTTTTTTTTTACGGATAGTTTTTAATGGATACACGGTGCTTATTATCTCGCTAATCAACATTGACTTCACAGGAGTTGTTATGCAGTTTCGTAGTACCGTCCGAGAAGAAGAATCTTCCTCAGGGACACCATTGTTTTGTGCGCAGCTTTTCGCGTCACCCTCGAGTTATACGAAGAAAGTAACGAGTTATCGGAAAACTAGCGAAACAGAAAAATTACATAAAATAAATATAAATATAATAATATAATAATAATATAAGAATATAATAATATAGTATAATAATAATATAATAATATAATATAATAATAATATAATAATATAATACAATAAATAATTACATAGAATATGTTAGGAATATTTGACTGGAAGAAAGAAAATTGATTAAATTATTAGAAATTTTGATTAGAACTGATAAATAAAATTGTGAACGATCTTGAGCATGTCCAGAAGAAATTTCTGCCTTGTAAAAATGAAATAAAAAGGTCGGTGAAAAGAAAGCGAAAATTCGAAGGAAAGCAACTCGAAGGTTCCACGGACTTACATGTACAAACTTTACAGCTCTCGAGCGTACGCGCGAAATTTCCTACTCCTAAATTGACTACGATTATTGACTCGTGACGTGCACGCGCGAACAAACCCCTAAAATCATCTTCTAATCAACGGAAGATTCTGTAACCTTTCCCCTATAGATCGTTTCTCCTAATCGTCGTGTAAAAAAATATAGAAAAATCTGTCGGACGCGCGGAAAAGAAACGTGGGTCCTCGAACGAAACGCTATCGGCACTACAAAGTACAGAGCTCGCCCGGGTTAATATCTATCGTCCTCGTTGCGTCTACTTATCTTTATGCTCGTATTATACTTATGCATACGGTTGATGTAATTTAACGCATAATCTTAGGTAGAAATCCACTGACACGATCGTCGCATTGTTGACATTCTGCGTTCGGAAGCGGTCGCGAGGAAAGGCTTGCGAGCTCTCGAAGAGAAATCGGGGCCAGCAGAGTTTCCATCGTGGACTGGGTCGCGGGAAATTATTGCCAGAAGAAGTCGGGTTGCTATTGTTTAGAAAAATATCGTTCGTCGGGAAAACGTTCTAACTTTCCTGATTGTCCGATTTTGGCTTTGCTCCTCGCCGAGATTCGTCGCTATTCTACGCTCCCCGCTAATTTCCCTAACCGAAGCCTACGAAAGGCAGAAGCTTGCGGCCATCGTTTCCCGCTTATTGTCCGTCGATTTACAGAAAAAACGAAAGATCTACCGAGAGATTTTTGTAACAACGCGAATGCGAAACGGAATGTTCTTGGCCCGAAGAAGACGTTTCCGACACGCGTTACGCTTCGCGTTACGATCCTAATAGACGACGACAGTATCCGTTACAGGAGAGAGAACTATGCAACAATCACATGCAATCTTGTCCTTACGCCTAATCGATTAAATCTAGCCTTACGCGCTACTTTATTGTCCGTGTTGGAACATTTTCCTAAAATTATTTATTGTCTGCTCACACAGTATTGTCGGTTATTATTAGTTAGATTACGCCTCGTAATTACAACTATCTGTTGTCTGGACACTAAGGAAGACGTTCGTCGTTCTCGGAGAAGCGTTTTCTTTTTTTCCGGTGAAATTAATTAATCGAGAAAACATCGTCGAAAGAAAAGAAGAAATCCATCGTTCGTCCACGATAAGAAATTTCGGGGGCAGAGTTTGAGATCATCGGCGCGAAAGCGACGCAAACAAAGCGTTCCTCGTAAGAAATACGGCGTCGACGATAGCGAGAAATCAAAGAAGAATTATAAAGATCATTGTCTGGACCAACAATACCGCTATTCTTACGTCTTAGAAAAAGTCTAAGTCAATTAGTGGGGCTCCTAGTTCAAGCCCCATAAACAATATACATCGTACAAAGTATACTCGTTTTCTTTTTTAAAAAACTATTACCATTTCTGTGCGGATCAAAAAAGTGCTGGTGCAGAGTATTGTCCCTAGAATTCAGTCAACATGTTCTTTCTATCTAATCCTACGCTATGTTCACAGTGCACTAACGAAAATCTACAAGCGGAACATCGATCGTACTCGATTCGCCCTATTTTAGCGTGCTTCGAGTATATTTTCCTTTTTTGCCGTTCGTCGGAAATAAAAAATACTCGAGGCACGATATTATAATATTACTATTGTCGATACATGGAGATCTTTAGCTCTCCTAGGAGCCGAGCAATTTTGTTAAATAATTAGGATTATAAATTATTTTTTAAATATTTCTTTCGCTCTGTGCGTTGTTCTAGCTTATATGAAACTGTAAAATTAAATAATCGACGTTTACGTTTTAGGCTTTATTGGCGTTTCACTGAAAATTGTAAGGTCTGCTCGGCTCTCCGTTGCTCGTGAATTACCTACTTCGGTTAATTATTGTCGCAGCATGTAGTTATACATGTTTCCCTGCTTACAATTCTCGTTATAGAATTAGTACACGTAACGCTAGACATAGAGTTACAATTTACACTAAGAAACACAGATCTTAATTACCCTTAACGATATAAACTCTTAGGTTTAGGCTTAACGGAGACTTCTATAATTAGTACACAAATACATCTGATGCATTAAATGCACATTTCATCTACAGTCGATGTGCGTTCGTACTAAATTTTCATGTTCTTTCACCACATTCGGTTTTCTACAAAATCGTTAAGCACTTCCCAGAACAAAAATGAGAGAAAAACTGTCATTTGTATTGTCCGCATTATTGCAAGCTCGCTGTGTAAATAACATCTATAGCTTGAACAAATGCTTTGGACATCTTAACACTAAATCTACCAAGCTCCAACAACGTGTGCTGCTTTATACGATCGACAGGACTGAATTTATTCAGACTTTTCGCCATTTTTACCACAATGTAAGCTTCGATAAAGCACTTTATTCGGTCGTTTCTTAAAGAACGAGTCTTCATAATTTCAACAAAAATATGTAACAGATCATTTTTCGCCGGCATGATAGATTTAATGTTAAAACACAATTTAGTTCGAGATCTAAAATAGGCCTTTTATAAATCAAGAAATTGATTCTCGCACTTGTCCAGAGCCTCGATCGGATCGATCAGAGTCGAAATTATCGACGAATGTCGAACGCACATCCTTAGAATCGTGATTTGTTCGGCCACTTGGTGGCGCGGCTTCCCCTAAAACCGACGGCGATACAAAAATGTTTTTTGTCGCATCTCATGCGGAATTTTCGTTTTGTTCGCAAAACCCACGTACGCGTGTATTTTGTGTGTGTGTGTGTGTTTTTTTAGTTCCTCGCGATTCTCGCTACTAAAAGTACGCACGATTTTTCCGTATATTTTCCTGTGTTACTTTTCCTTTTTTTTCTTTTTTTTTGTTCGTACGCGTTCGCGTGAAAACGGACTTTCTACAAAATGGCGGCGAGGGCTCGTTGTCCGACGGGTTCCGTCCGGCTAGCGGGCCCCTGCGTTCTTGGAACAGCTTCTTAATATGTTTCCTTTTATTTCATCTTCGCTAACATGCCCTTAACTAGGTTCCTTATTATCGTAAGACGGACAGGACTTCCGGAAGTCGATCGACACGGGACGCAATTCGCTAAAATCGTCGCTAGACCGCGAGAAATCGCGCGATTTTCGCGGCGAAGTTTTTCCAAAAGATCGTGAATCGCAACTTTCTACGATCTTCTACCGTTTCGAAATAATTTTGATTCCAACACCGGTAAGTTTAACCTCTGTCAGGGCATTTTATAAGCAAGAAAATGTACAATGACGTGCCACGGTTCAATTTGTTAATAATCTATCAAATGCAAACGAACGCGCGATGTTGCAAGTATTGCTGCGATCATGGCGATGTTAGAGCTGGTAGTTGGTAGAAAAATATATTTATCGCGAACAGTTTAATCCTAGAAATGAAACTTCTATTTATCCGACTGTTGGCACGGACTTCCGTAGATTATTAGAAGATGAATGTCCAGTTCGAGGTTTCGAGTTCCGTGTCGATCGCTTCTAAACCGAGTCGACTAATATCGTTCGAGCCACTTTAACAGATAAAAGAAGTTAGTCTCGATAGAGAGATCATCGGTCGCATTCGCGATCGTTAGGCTGGACCAGCGTTTCCGTTGAACCTCTGAAATATTGTCATGGCGGTCCTCCCGAATACTTGTAACAAAATATGGTTCACAGATCCGTTCCTGCAATATTTATTTATTTAATTCGTTTACAATTCTAATATCTTCCGAGGACTGCGCTTTCTTTCTTTTTTTTTCGCGTGGGAAGGACCGATACCGTCTCACGGTTTCAGAAACGCTGGATTAAGCTAGTTCGAATATTGAACGTCTTCACTGTCGTTGCAAGAGTAGTCTCGGTAGGAATAGTAAAAAAGTATAGCGTTCTCTCGAAAGGAAAATTGCGATTCTCCGGCTACCAGTGTCAAGTAAACATCAAAAGTTTCTATCCTGCTATACAGCGTCGATCAAACGGAACATCGATGATTAATATTGTCGTTAGCGGTGCGAACATCGGTATCGCTCGATCCGAGCATGCTGTTCGCGTTACAGCGACTTAACAAACAAGGCGCACGCGTCATATTATCGTTAAGATTTATTGTCTTACGTTAACGATCCATCCGATCAAGCCTTACCGATCTGATCGCGACTGGACGATTTTTGAAATCGTTCCGGTCGGCTTTTGCGTAGCTTTTTTATGGTGGCTTTTGCCCATACCGTAGTCGCCGTACGTCGCCATCACGTGTCGAATCCATGGCACGTATTTCGGCACGTAGGCGTAGACCCCGGGCAACTTTGGGTGGGCACACTTTATTCCCCAACTCACGATGCCACCTACGAACCATTTGTCTTTCTCGTTTTCGTCCTCGCAGAGCAGGGGACCTCCGGAGTCGCCCTGGAAAATGGATGTTACATGTTAAATCGTGTTTTAGAACGTACAAGCAACATTTTTGATCGGTTCAGTGTCGAATAGCCAACGGGATGCCATGGACATTTATGAACGCGAAGTGTCACAATTTCCGAGGGTTTCTGGAACGAAACAAGTCACAAATTTGGCTCGGCGGTGGAAATGGTTATTTTCGGGGGCTTTTTTTGGAATGGAAACGGTCGCGAATTCCAAGACATTGGAAAGAAAGAAGCGACAAATTCTAAAGGTCTTTCGAACGTAACAAATTCTAGAAGATCTCTGGATTGAGAAAGATCGCGCATTGTAGGGGTGCCAACAATTCGAAGAATCATAGAGTCTAGGCATCTTCGAAATGGGAAAGGTCGCAAATTCTACGACTTCTTGAAGCCTCAACTACGTATACGGCCGCGAACTCTGATTACCGACTCCGAGAAACGCCAAGAATCTATTGTTTCCAAGATGAATTTACCTGGCAAGCATCTTTCCCACCATCAGGGTAGCCGGCGCAGATCATTCCGTCGGTCACGTTCAACTCTTTATACGCTAGCCACGAATTGCAAATCTCTCTATTCAAGACTGGCACTCGTACCTCATTCACTGCCAGCTCGTACTCGGACGCTGCGAGATAATTCCAACCCATGAGCGAATCATATAAATTATACCGACAAATTAAACGCGACGAAAAAAATGGTACAACCGAATAAATTGTACCGTACGTACTGTCGGAGTCGTTCTTCTTGCCCCAACCGATCACTGTGCACACAGTTCCAGGAACGAGGACCTTGTCTGCCGATGGCAGACAAACCGGCCTCAAGTCGTCGTGGAACTGCACTCGTTTCTCCAGCTGGCAAAAGAACACGTTTCAAGAGAATTTCACGACAACAGTAGTTCGTTTCTAATCACTCGTCTTCTCGAGGCCAATCGAGCGGTTTAGAATCATGGTGCTGTAAGTCACGTTAATGAAACAGGGAGTGCCAAGTTGTTCGCAGAACAAATTTATTGTTACGATAATTTAGAGTTCAGCGAATTTATAGTAACTTTATAGCTTATTTTACTTGTCTTTTGAGCATTCCGGCATGTACAGATTACATTTTAATACTTAAATGACCGCATATTATTTCCCGTAGGTTTACTCTAAACCGTGAAAAAATCATTATCCAGAAACAGTTCAGCACATTGCGATATGCTTTGAATATTTTCTGGTTAAATTTTTACTCCAGAATTGTCTTCAAAAGCTCCTAGATTTATGGTTCTGTCCTTTATGCAAACATCTTTATTTTCCGATTGTTCGGACTCGCTTGAAATTATATTCAGTTGCATAGTTTTATGTTTTTGCACATTATTGTGCGAGATTATTATATATATTATTTATATATATATTATATATATTGATTGCGAGATTATTCTCGTCATCGCTATCACTATTTCGGACACGCCCTCCAAAATTGTCTAAATAATCACCATCGTACACGCTATCTTCAGAATCGGTAATAGAATTACAGCTGTTATCGCTCGATATATCGGACGAATCGTCTGCGTAACGCTCCAGAAAACTCATCCCATTACGCAAATTAGTGTTCTTTCTTGACATTATTCAAAGGAATTTGATCTTCTTTAAATTGAAATTATTATAGGAATACCAAACAGTGTCAAACGTGAGAATTCGTTCGAATATTTTCTAATACATAACAATTACTGTTGGAACAGATAATTTTCAGAGAAAAGCGATAAAAACGAGAAATCTCGTCACGGTCTTTTTTCGTTGCCGGGGCATTAACACTAAACCTACCGCGGTCAATGTGACCGCTTTCTTATTTTGCAATTCTGCAAAGTTCCGAGACTCTTTCGTGGAAAACGCTCGAATAAGTTATATTATTGGAGCAAGTTTTATAATAAAAACTTGACAAATTCTAAAGAAATTCGGTCTTCTCACTTTTGCGAAGCGGTACATGCCAGTTAGTACTACTGCTTGGTAGGTTTAGCGTTAAAACACGAGAAATCTCCTGAACGGTCGTTTAAGTGTTTTAAGACACGATTGAACATTTTCGAGAATATGACTTATTATCATTCGAATCCACTCGATTATATCAATCGACGAAAACAAAAATGTAGGACGAAGCTTTCTACCTGGAACAGAGCCACATCGTTGTCGTGAGCGATGCCTAGGTTGTAATTAGGATGGGACACCACGTTCTTCACCTTCAGCTTTTGACTGTAATAGGTGTGCGAGTGTCTCCTAGTGATCCCCAGCTGTATCGTCCAACCAGATACATCGGAGCGGCTGTGACTAAACAGCATCAGAAACGATCATTCAAGAACAGGGCCGGGGAAAAATAGGTTTTTGAAATAGCAAATGGACTACAAATATCTGTATCTTTTCATGTAATACAAAATGGCGAATAAACTTGCAGCGGACCCGCAACGTGGGATATATATAAATTATTTTTATATTTATATATATTATATATTTATTATTATTATTATTATATATATAAGTTCATTTGCCAAATTCTGTATTACACGAGAAGATACAAACTATTTCAAACATCTATTTTTCCCCAGCCCTGTTCAAGGGAAATAAAGGACCGGACGCTTTCAGATTCAATTTACGGATAGAAAGGAGAGATAAATGGTTAATCGACTCACTTTCCAACACAGTGACTCGCGGTCAGAATCCACTGGTCAGCTATCAAGACCCCGGCACAATAAAACACCTGTTCAGGCCCACCAAGAAGCGCAGCTAAAAACGGCCAGTCGCCCGGCGCTGATTCGACGCCACCAACGATCCTCGTCTGCACCCTCGAATTCCCGTACACCGATCTCCTTTGCCCGCAAGCTGCAGCATTAATGATGCCTTTCAATTGTCGCGGCAATGCCACTGCTGCAGATTTACACTCATACACGAAAGTATTCGAACGCTTACGTTTCTGACATCCAATTCATAACATATATGTGTTAAACCGAAGTATTTGATATAATATGGCACATGTAACAAGGGTTGGGTCTTAAGACTGCGTGAGCAAAATTAGAAAATAATTCAACGATATATAGCGTTTTTACAGTACATTGATTGTAAACACGTACCAGAAATGGCTCACAAAAGTATTCGAACGAAACAATTAACAGTTATTTAAATTGAACGATTAAAGGTTTTAATAGGAAGTTGATACAACTTTTGCTTTTATGACAGCCCTAAGTCTGTTTTCCATCGAGTGGACCAACTTGTGTTCATCGATGAGATAATGGATAAAACGAAATACTTAAAAATTTTGCAAGAAAATTTAAAAAGCAGTGTATCAAAATTGAATTTACCTAGCGATTATTGGTTTCAGTCTGACAATGATCCGAAGCATACCCCTAAAATAGTCAAAGAATGGGTATTGTATAATGTTCCACGCGTGGTGCCACATCCACCGCAAAATCCCGATTTAAACCCCATTGAACATTTATGAGATGAAGTAGAAAGATGATCAAGAAATACGATTATTACTTCGAAAGAAGCGTTAAAACGAAATATTATTGAAATATGGCAATCGATAGATGCAAATGTTACTTCTAAGTTGGTCCACTGTAAAAACGCTATATATCGTTGAATTATTTTCTAATTTTGCTCGCACAGTCTCAAGACCCATCCCTTGTTATATGTGCCATATTATATCAAATGCTTCGGTTTAACACATATATTTTATTAATTGGATGTTAGAAACGTAAGCGTTCGAATACTTTCGTGTACGAGTGTACGTTCGATATAGTTTATGCTACCGTATTCCGAGCATGTGAGCTCCACCGTGGGGTAAGGCTGCTGATCAGTGATGCACTCTTGGAACTCCTTCAGCATGTTCACCTGCGAGGAATTGGCGCCCCTTCGCGTGAGATTGGTGCCGTGCTCCGTCAATCTGGACGAATTTGCCACTCTGCGACAGAAGCGGAAGTCCATGTTTCTACTTCGTAGAATTGTTGCATTTCGTATGTTGCACCTTCGATCGGAAACTTGTATCCAAGTCTTTCCCTGATCGGAAACTATTTTTTTTCCGTGCAAGATTTTGTTCTTTCCTCGATATTGTCAATGAGAATATAAATGAAAGAGTTCGTATTATATTTTGTGCTTAATTATTTCTTATAAAAATCCCCTACATTCTTGATCGATTTTAATTATACACAATAGCACTTCAAAGTCCCGAAACACGACAGTTTTTCGTAAAATTTCGTAAGGAAGTACAAAGTATCCTTGATAACTGTAGATCAAGAAGTTCAGGAAAGAGAGGAATCGATGCGAATCTCGTGGGAATTGTTCTCTTACTTGTATCCAAGCTTAGCGCAGATTCTTTTCGCGGAGTCCGTTTCCCAGTGAGAAATACAGGCCGGCATGAACTTGCCCACTTCGGCGTGAAACACCTCCAGTCTTCCTTTAGCTATGTCTCCGTTCCTTATGCTGACTCTCACTGGAACGACAACCATAACGACACAGTTAAAGAAAATTTGCGAAAAACTTTGATAATAAATATTGATAATTAGGAAGGGTAGAGAAGGAAGGAATAAGGATTCAAGGTAAAAAGGGTGGGAAAACTCTCACTGGAATGACAACCATAATTGGTAGACGGCGGATTTTATGGATTTTACGGATCAGAAGAATTTCGGAATACCTTTAACTTTTGTCTAACACTTTTTTCTCTATTGTCGAAAACGAGCGAATTATTCCGGTGTCTCTTTGTAAATGCATAAACAGGGTGCCCCAAAAATGTCTCGCAGTCCGGAAATGGCGGATTCCACAGATAATTTGAAACAGCTTCTACCTTTACAAAAATGTTCTCCGAGGCACCGTTAACGAGTTATTAACGAAAAACAGTGACCAATAAGAATCGAGTACGGCTGACGCGAGGCGGCCCAGCCAACCAGCGAGCTCGCCTCTCATTGGTCACTGTTTTTCGTTAATAACTCGTTAACGGTGCCTCGGAGAAAATTTTTGCAAAGGAAAAAGTTGCTTCGAATGACCCGAGGAACTCGCCACTTTCGGATTGCGAGACATTTTTGGGACACCCTGTATATATATATGTACATTGTTTCATAATAATGACAAGATTTAATTGATTTAAACTACGTATGATTTCTATTTTAATATATGCTTGAATAACAAGTTTATTTAAAAATTTTGTCTATCATACCAATGAGAAAATTTGATTTATTTAAACTTCGTACGATTTCTGTTACAGCAATATGCTTGAGTGAACAAGTTTTCTAAAAATCTGTTTACCAGAACAATAACAAGATTAGACTTATTTAACACTAGATTTACGGATTACATAAAAACAGCGGTTCTATATTAGTTTATAGAAGTAACAATTTCAAGACATTTATTCTGATTTTTAACAAGTGTTATTATAACATCTGCTGTAAGTAACATAAATTGAATAAACAACTCATAAACGTATCTTTACGATATGATTATTATAATATTATAATATATATAATAATTATATTATGTATATTATAATATTATAATATATAATAATATAATATTATATTATAATATTATATTATTATATAATTACGATATGATTATAAATTAAAAAATTCCCTTCCGTAAATCTTGTATTAAACACTGTACGATTTTTATAATCCATATTATAACATATGATTAAATATTTTTTTTCAGCTGGCGAACGAACACAGAAACATATTTACTATGCCAGAAACCGTAAAGGAGAAAATCAGAGAAATCAGTTCTGGCGTTAAAGAACGTGTCTGGCCACGAAAAGTTGTGCTTACAACAATAGCGTTCGTCCTGTCCCCAAGGACAGTTCATGATCCCGTCGCACACGTGGTTCGTGGAGATGCAAGACTTCTCGCCGCAGTGCCACGGCGAATTCGAGACGTTGTTCTTCGCCAGGATCGGCTTCTTCACGATCTTCGTGTTGAGCACCGATCCTCCGACAGCAGAAGAGGCGCTGCAATCCGCGCAGTACATTTCGTCGCTGTTATCGGCACAGTCCAAGTGGCCGTCGCATTTCCAGTCGAGCGGAATACATTTGTTCCCGTCGCATTGAAAACCGCTGGGGCATGCTGTGCAACGCGGAGAAACATGTATCAGACGCAACAATCAACGTGAAAGCCTCCCCTCCACCCCCCCCCCGAAGTCTTGCGAACTTCTTGCAAATTTTTTAACTATTACAGGAAGGAATTCTCCGATGAAAGAAACAGAAGGAAAACAATCAACTGGATCGGACAAATAGTTTTCGAGAGCAAATTTACGAGTGTGGCCTATTTTCGTCGAAATGGAAAGTGGTGGATTTGCGAAATTTTTCGCGAAATGACACGTTGAACGTTAGTAGATTTTAGAATTTTTTCAAGTATAATATAA